GCGGGGCTCCAGTCGCTGCGGCGGGCATGCGCCTCAAGTGTGTGTGTGTGTGTGCGAATTCCGCCCATATCGCCATTATTATGTACATATCTGCTGCTGCCATCTCGGTTCCGGTACTGGTCATAGGTACAACGCCGCCTGCCCGTAAGGTCGCGGCCGCGGTTGCAGCGTGGAGCTCGTCCGCAAATTTCATCGAGCTCACTGGCGCGCGGGCCCTCGCGGCGCGGGCGAAGTCCATCTTGCGGGAGACAGCGCGGACGACAGCGTCGACAAACGACGATGAGGTGGTTGGCAGACTTCGTAGGGTCGCGAGTACTGTTACAGCGTGAAGCTCCTTCGATATTTCATCGTGTTCATTGGCGCGCGGGCGGGCAAAGTCCATCTTGCGGGGGACACCGCGGACGACGGCGGCGACAAACGACAATGAGAATAATCGCGACGCTTCCGACGGCAATGATGACGATGACGGTGCCCCGCATGGTATTATTTGACAGGGATTATGCTTCTGGCAAATGCGCGAGGGCATTGGGATAAGTTCGACATGCGCGCGCGAAAGCCGTAGTAGTCCGCAAGAGCGTGCGAGATGAAATGTGGAAACAATTTCACGAACTATTTATTGTTTTGATGTTTTCTGTTGAATTCGCAACGGAAACACAAGTTTTGGAAGGATTTCGTCTTGCGTTCGCGCACGTGGCCCTCATGGATGATTCAATCGGGATTCGCGCATTCATTCCATTTCAGGTCAACGCATGTGCGCCGCGTGGTATTATTTGACAGGGATGGGGGGGGGGGCGATACCCGGAACAGCGGGGATAGTATGAATTCATATGGGAAATAACAAGGAGGCAAATTCACATGTAAATTGCACCTCCCCTGAAGGGGAGTCGTAATCCGGGGAAGGTGGTGGGGTCGAATCTATATTTTCCGGTAAGAGAGAAGAGCTTACGTGGGGCAGTATATGCGGTGCAATATTTCTGGTGCTATGTATGTTGTACAATTCACCCTTCCGAACTTGAAATTGTCAACGCAATTGCTCGCGCAATCATCCCACCCGCCCACCCGCCCACCCATCCGCTACTTGGTTTGCGAAGCCCTTGCGGCGGCGATTGCGATATGAGAGGGGCTTAATCGGCTACGAGTACGTAAATAGTGCCAGGTTCGCCCCGTCGTTCGTCCGCCGCGCGGCGCGCTAGTGGATAAGTCATCCAGGTTCATGCCGTCGTTCGTCGCGGCCGCCACTTGACCTGAAGTAATACACCAACATTTCGGGAGGAATGCGCGTAAGGCCCCGTCGGCCCCGAGTCCTATTGGAAAACCGATGTTTTTTGACCGTTTTTCTTGATATGGGATTCTCGCATATGTTTTTCCGTCTTGCGATCCCGGCTCAGAGACAAAATCGAACCAAGAGGTAAACGCCAACATTTTGGAAGGAATGCGCGTGGGGCCCCATCGGCCTTTATTCCTGGTGGAAAGTCTAAACCGATTCTCTGGATCTGTTGTGTATATATATATACACATATCGGGATGTATATGTATATATATATATATATATATATATATATATATGGCGATCCTTGTTCGGATACCGAATCGAATCCAAGAAGTAAAGCACGAACATTTCGAACATAATGCTCGTGGGGCCCCACTGGTCCCGATTAATTTCGGAATTTGTGGAATGTTTGTTTCGGGGATTCGCGCATGAATTCTCATACATCTAAACATCACAACATTGCGTTGATGTGTTTGTATGTTCTTCTATTATTTTCCATCCCGAAAAGTTTGTATTTAGAGGTTGTTTTGTGTGTTGTTCGTCGTTTGAGTAGAGTAGTTCACGTCGAAATTCGAGTTTGTTTATCGTTGTTCCAGAAGGGTGGGTTGTTTCTTCATGTCGCGCTGTTTGTCGACAGAAAAGGGGCTTCAGCATTCAGGAAAATCAGCTCGTTTGCTGTATTTCCCCAGTATGTAGTTCAACCTATAGAGACCCCCCTCACATGGCGATGACTGCTTGGCGCTGGCTGGCGCATCGCTGCGGCCGCGCTAGCGCGCGCAGGCTCTCGCGCAGACCGGTCAGCTAGTCTGGCGCGACCGACGCGGTCGCGGTGGCGCCGACCGTTGGGTACATCCCAGCGCGTCCCGCAGGCCGCGATGACAATTGGACACGTCAGTGCGAGTCGGTGATTCGGGCCGGCGCGGTATCATGGCGACGCAGACAACGGCGGACACGATGATGATAGTGCCGATGCTGGTGGCGACGATACGAAGACGACGGCAAGGCCAATGACGGCGCCGATGCTGACTATGCCGGTAACGATGATGGTGTCCACATGTGTCCACGTGTCGGTGCTGAAGGTTTTGAATGGATTCCGACATGCGCGCGCGGCCGACGGGCGCGAGTGGCCCGTTTGGTATTCTATGACGGATCGTGCCCCCCCAAAACGCGCGCAAATGCGTCCAAACAGTTTGGCACTCGCGCGCGAGAGGCTTGTTTGGTCGAATTTCATGTCATTTGCAAAACCTATGGTTTCATGTAAAATTCACAAAAAGCGCGCAAACCTCTTTGGACAAATGATGCTGCCAAGCTGCCCATTTGTATATATATATATATATATATATATATATATATATAATTGTCGGGACATTCGGTTTTCAATTCTGTACGAATCCTCTGGTGTTTGCAGGATTTCGGCATGCGCGCGACGACGCGTACATGTGTTTTTCGTCTTTTGTCTTGCTAGGGGTTCTAGCAAACATATATTTACTGATAAACGGTTGCGCGCGCAGTGTATCGTTGGACGAGAATGATGGACGGGGGAAGCCACTCTAGCTAGGATGATCGGGGCTCATACTTAGGCCGAGTGATGGGGCAGAATCGGATCTAAATTGCACATGCCCGGGGCGGTGATGTCTCCGGGGGGAGGTGGGGCAAATCTCATTTTGGGGGAAGGGGCGGCGTCGGGGCGGCGACGGCGAAAACGGAGCCACCAGACCGCCAGCCAGGCTTAGACGACGGTCGGCGATGGGGCGGCGGCGGCGACCACGGAACCGCCAGACTGCCAGCCAGGGCTAAATTCTTGAGACCTTGGAACAGAAACGAGAGACCGTAAGCGCGAACTTTGTTAGGGGAAACGGTTTCCTCTCTCTACCTCTGTCTCATTTGCTGTTTCTCTCTCATTCTCTCTTTCTCTCTTTTTCTCTTTCTCTCCCTCTCTCTCTCTCTCCATATGTACCGCTTCTCGGCGTGTGACCTGCCAGTGCACTTCCTTGGGTGTCTGATGATGTCGATGCTCTTGCCCGAAGCGCTTGGTCCACTCTCTGCAGTTCTCATCTGGGCCTCGTGTTTCGTCTCGGCGAGCGCCGGTCCTCTGCTCCGCAGCACCGCGCGCGAGCGGCAGACGCCGCGCGCCAGGACGCCGTCTACAGAGATCGCGAGGCGAGGAGGGCCCAAGGAAGGGGTGCGGCAAGACGGCCGGGCCTGCTGCGCAAAAGGGTCTGTGGGCGGTGTGCGCCCTGGGAGCGTGTGCAGCACCTCGTCGCGCGATCCAGTAAATCGGGCGTGTCCCATTACAGGAGGAATGTTCAAAGAGAGTCCACACATCGTCGGGGGACGATGGTTTGAGCATTTTGTGACTATGTTTGAGCATTGTTTGACCGTTTTTTATTTTTCGCCCAAGAGCCCCCTGTAGGGGGACACGCCCGACCTGAGGCCAGAGCAGGGAGGGAGCACTGCACGGCCTCGTCTTGTTTTTTGGGCGGTGGACCGAGTTCTTGATTCGGCAAGCCACATGGCGGACAGGCGCTGAATGGCTGACGGGATTGCGCCAGCCGCACCCTGCAGCAGACAGCTCTATTGGGCTGGCCTACAGCCAGTGCCGCCGATCCGGGGGGGCTCCGGAAGTGGAGTTTTCTATACCCCCCTGCCTGTCCCCGGGTACCGAAAAACGTCGGAAGTGACGTCGGAAATAACGTGCCCCCCCCCCTCCAGAGCGAAGCTTGAGCGAGCTCAAGTCCACGCTCTCAGAAACTCACACGCCGGATCGGCGGATTTCCTGCGGCCGACGGCGCCACCCGTTGCGCAAGCGGAGGTGCGACCCAGAGCAACCGAAGATGCAACCTGTCAGGTTCGGCCAGGCGTGTCTCCCATACAGGCGTATTTTGCAAGAAAATAGAAAAAGCCAAAACACATACCACAAAATGGTTCCAAAGCAATCTTGCAATGCATAGTCCCCAAGCTACTTTTTAGACTGTTTTTGGATATTCCTCCTGCGGAGGGACAGGCCCGACTCGAGGCCAGCTGGTCCGGTGGGCTGCGCCAACAGCTTGGCATCGCCCGGACGTGTGCATGTTTCCTTCGGCGAGGACTATCGAGGAGCATCCTTGAGCACTTGGCGAAACAAAACACGCACGAAACCGAACAAAAGCACAGGGAATGGACGTCCGAGCGATGGCCAGACAGGCTGCGCCCCAGGCTGCCCCGCGGCGGGATCCGCGACGGGCCGGCGGGAGGCACGCGTGGCAGGCCTCGCCACGGGCCGCCTTCGTGGGCACCTCGGAGTGCTGCCGTTGCCTCCTCGGGGGGCCTCGTCTGTCCAGTCGCGGCCCTGCAGTCAAAAGCCCTGATAAGGACGCGCGACTTTGCTCAGGGTACCCTTGCGTCCTTGCTCTTCCTTGCTCTTGCGTCCTTGAGGTTCTCGTCGTCCGCCGCCCCAAAAATCCCAACTTCGGCTTCCAAGGGTCTTGCGTCCTTACCGCGCGTCCTTATTAATTAGGGTTTTTGACTGTACTCGCGTCGAGTGCGTGTCGAATCCGTGTCGGCCTCGTCGGATCCCTGTCGAATCCGCGTCGAGTCCGCGTCGAGTCCACGCCAAGTCCGCGTCGAGTCCGCGTCGAGCCCGCGTCGGGCATAACAGAAGACACCGATTTTGGGGGACGGGCGAGGTCCCCCGAAGATGCAGCGGACCTTGGGGCTGCCTCCTCGCCCCACGAGTTGTCAAATGGTATGTCTTTTGGGTTGCGCCATGTCTTGCGGCCCCAGCGGCCCAAGCGTAGCCCACAGGACCAGCTAGCCGTATGAAGCACCACCGGTGGAGGAAAACGCAGTATCGAATACAAGCGAGTTTGTTGTGTTTGATCTGGAAGTCATGGCGAAGCCTGATGCTGACTGCGACCTGGTGTCATTGCGCAGTGCGTCACACGGCGGTTTTAGAAGGAGAAGTCACATCGATACCTTAAGAGACATTGGACATTCTTTCCCGAGACTCGGTAAAACGTGTTTGCGATACGTGGCGTGCCTGGGAGAATGTATGCAACATGGGTGTTCTAGTCATACGATGTTTGCACAATTATCTATATGTCGGCACCCTGTTGGAACCACTTGCACTGCAAAGCGTTTCTCTGCAAGGCCCCAACGGAAAAATGTACACAATCTAATCGCTTACGGTGCCAATTCGCGAGTGTTCCCCGCACGGTATTGTTCTGGAGGATGCGGTAGACAAACCCTTAACCGATCACCGTGGCTTTTCCGTCTACGGCCGTTTTCATTCATTTGGTATATACGATTCCGTATGATAGGGTATTATCCATTTGCTTGCGCAGTCTTGGGGCGATGTTGCAGGCCTCCTGGGCCGTCTTCAGTTGACGGAAGATTAGAAGCGTGATAGTACAGAAACCAATGAACAAACGTATGAACAACAATTTCTTTGCCCGTTTTGGCCCTCTGGAGCCTCCTTTTGGAGCCCTGATGAGCGGTCGTTGGGGCCTTTGGGAGCTATCATGAGGCCATCATGGGCTGTTCTGCGGCTATCTTGGGCCCGCCGGTAGCCCTTCTTGATTGTCTTGGAAGATGGAGGAGGAGGACGAGGACGAGGACGAGGACGAGGAGGAGGAGGAGGAAGAGGAGGAGGAGGAGAAGGAGGAGGAGGAGGAGGAGGAGGAGGAGGAGGAGTGGAGAGGAGGAGGAGGAGGAGGAGGAGAGGAGGAGGAGAGAGACTCAGGAGGAGAAGCATGAGAGCATGAGGAGGAGGAGGAGAGGAGGAGGAGGAGAGGAGGCGGAGGGGGGAAGGAGGAGGAGGAGGAGGAGGAGGAGGACGACGAGAAGGAGGAGGAGGAGGAGGAAGAGAAGGAGGAGGAGGAGGAAGAGAAGGAGGAGGAGGAGGCAAGAGGCGGAGGCGGAGGAGGAGGAGGAGGAGGAGGAGGAGCAGGAGCAGGAGCAGGGGGGGAGGGAGGCTTCTTCGTCCATCTCGGCTGCCTGCGTGGCTGCCCTGGGCCTTCACGTGGAAGCCCTGGAGGGTTTTCTCGGGCGGCACCGTGGCCGCCCTGGCTGGCCCAAGGAGCAGGGTTACGTCGGGCGTGTCCCTCGACAGGAGGAGGACTCAAACACAGTTATAACAAAAAATAGTCTGGGGACTATGTGTTGATTCTTGCTTGACTTTTTTGGAGGGTATTTTTGGAGTACTTCCCCTCGACTTTTTTGTATGATTTTTTTTGTATTTTTTTGGGGACTTACCCTCGACAGGAGGAGGACTCAAACATAGTTATAACAACACATAGTCTGGGGACTATGTGTTGATTCTTGTTTGACTTTTTTTTAAGGGGGGTATTTTTGGATTACTTTTTAAAATATTTCGCCCCAACTCCGCCTGTAGGGGGGCACGCCCAAGCGAAGAGTAGGGTTAAGTCGGGCGTGTCCCAGGAAGATTCAAACATAGCTTTGAAAACATGTTGGGACGACCTTCTGTTATTTTTTAACTATTGTACAGTAGATTCTGGGTATTTTTTCATTTTCCCTCCCGAATCATCTGCCTGTAGGATGACATGCCCGACCCAACCCTGGCCCCAGGAGCAGGGGCGCTGCACGCAGGTGGGTGCGAGGTGACGGGCCCTCCTGCGGCGATCCTGGAGGGTTCCCTGGCCGACCGTCTTGAGCGGAAGGGAGCCCAGAAACGCGAGAGTTCCAAAATCAAGGAAGGACTCTCGGACCGAACGAAAAGGGGGGGACAGGGAAAGGGGGGGGTTACGAAGTCTGCTGCGTGCAGCTGGTTTCGGCCCCGCCGCCGGGCCCATCCCTCGATACAGGGCCGCCTCCCGGCGCCGGGAGGCGCCGGGAAAGTCAGCTACGCGAGCTGATTCTCAAACCCCTCCTTTGCTATCCCCCCTCTTTTCGCCCGGCCCGAGGCGCATGGGAGGCCAGCTGTTTTTGCTCCCTCGGGCCCTCTGGGGGCCCTTTGCTATCCCTCCCCCTTTGCTATCCCTGATTCTCAACCCCCCCCTTTGCTATCCCTCCCCCTTTCGCCCGGCCCGAGACTCCTGGGAGGCCAGTGGCCAGTCGTTTTTGCTCCCGCGGCCCCTCCGGAGGCCCTTCTTGGGGCCCTCTGGAGCCGTCGTGCGGCCTCTCGTTTGAGCCATCTCTGAGGCCCTCCTGGAGTTATGTGGGGCGTGTCCCCCTACAGGGGGATTTTCGACGAAAAATAAAAGATACACCAAACATATTCCAAAAAGGTCAGAAAATACTCCAAAAATAGTCCCCAGACTAGTTTGGGATTATTTTTGGACTATTCTTGGGGTATTTTTTATTTTTCGTCGAAAATCCCCCTGTAGGGGGACACGCCCGACTTAATCCTGGAGCGTCATGGGGGCTGTGTTGGGCCCTCTTTCGGCACGAGCGAAATGGGTACGGAAATAATGGGTACGATGCCCAACGGCAGTTCCTGTTCATTTCGAACAGGATTCGCTGTCCACGCCGCCGCGGCCTGTGTCCATTCGAGACAGAAGGCCGCCTGCCCAACAGCGGCCGCTGCTGGTATGGGACAACATTTGTTGTTGGGCACTGTACCCATTCTTTCCGTACCCATTTCGGGCGTCCAAACTCTTGGAGCCAGTTTCGGCCGTCTTGGAGTTACGTCGGGCTTGTCCTTCTACAGGAGGAATGTTCAAACATAGTAATAACAAATAGTCTGGGGACGATTTTGTGCAATCATATGTTTAACCATGTTGGAGTATTTTCTGGGTAGGTTTGATGTTTCGTCCAAAATCCCCCTGTATGGGGACATGACTGGCTTAATCTTGGAGCCATCTTGGCCATCTTGGCGGCCTGGACGGCTTGCCGGGCCGTCTTGGAAGGCTTCGGGGGCCCCATGGGAAGCGCCATGGCCGCCCAGGATCCTTCGGGAGGAAGGGCGGTGCACGCGCCACTCTGTGGAAGGGGGCCCTCGAGATTTTTCGGTATACCATTATGTCGGGCGGGTCCCCCTACAGGGGGATTTTCCACGAAAAATAAAAGATACCCAAAACAGACCCCAAAAAGGTCAAAAAATATTCAAAAAATAGTCACCCGACTATTTTTTGATTATGTTTGGGGTATTTTTTATTTTTCGTCGAAAATCCCCCTGTAGGGGGACAGGCCCGACTTAAGTATACCAAACCCTCCGCGCCCCA